CAACCAACTCTGCAATCCATCTTAAGATTTCCACTGATGTGAGCAGTTACAAGTTGTACAGTCCTGTAGACTCTTTTTCATCTTCATCATCAAGCACATATTTGACATGAACACTGCTACAGTTCAGACTATATTCGGACTTTGCTAATTGGCCATCAAATAACAGTTTCACAACAAATGATCAGTGTAAATCATCTTGTTGGACTAAATATGAGAAATAAACTGAATTTTATTGAGCAAATTCATATTTTAAGGAAAAGGAGTTAATACTGAAGCCTAATGATGCTCTGTAGTTGTGGGTATGAGACTACTTTCTAGCCCTTGTAGAGTAAAGGACAAATATTTGTCTACGCAGGTGTGTGTGGACGGGGGATAGTCAAATGTACATCACGTGGATGTTAGTGGATGAGACAGTATGACACTGACCTAGAGGAAATATCAACTAGTAATTTTCAAATCACCAATCACCAGTCTGTGATTCGCCTCCTTACCAGCCCCACTATGAGGAGGAAGTGGCGTCCCTGTGGCTGGCTGTAGCCCGGCGTGCTGCTGCTGCTGCCTCCATTAGCCCTCTGCTGGGGGAACACCTCCCTCCAGATGACCAGCTGACCCACACGCTGCTCCGACGCCAGCGGCAGCAGGCAGTAGTGCTGGCAGTACAGACACACATCCAGCAGGTCCTCCTTCGGCAGATGGTTGGCAATCAGGTAGGACTGAGTGGGGAGAAGGCGGATTAATAAATGGAATAAATACTTGGATCTTTAAAGAACAGTCTAGCGCTCACTGTCGTCCTTCTAACTTTTCCTCTTGGTTAATATTTTATCCAAGTAATCAGGTTGATGATTTGTCAGTGAGCCACAAAACAACCTCATCCTGTTATCTCGTGTGAAAGGTTATCTTGTGTATACAGTCGCTGCTATCTGGACTTTTAGTTGTTGACATTCAAGGATAGCCGTCTAGACAGCAGGGAAGATATAACATGATAAGGCTGCCGGCACTGAAGCATGTGTGTTTGTTTTGAATACGACACCTACCTTGTAGAACAAACAGGAGCCAAGAATTACATAGAGGCGGCGCAGGCCAAAAAAGTCCTCGGACTGGAAAAAACAAAAAAGAAGAAGACAAATAAGGAAACACAAGAAAGATGCAGCGAGCAGATAGTAGCACCAGATGAGGGTACTGCTGCTGTTTAAGGCCTGACCAGAGAAAAAAAAAACATATCAAGCCCTCTGTGTGCAATAAAAAATATACAACATCCCTGCTCCTGCTCCATTGATGGTGACATCTTTTCTATTTAAAAGAAAAAAACTGTGAGTCTGAGGAGTGCAACAATAAATCAGTGGAGCTTTTTTATAAAGCTATGCATAATGATAATTTCAAAACTCAAAGGGTAAGGACATCTAGGTCACGTCACCTCTTCCAGCATCAATAATCTATCTGAAATCAGTTAACGCTGCACGTATAAATGACAAACCAGATCCCATTAGCTGCTCATTAAAAATACACGCAGTGCACACACACATGGACATGAACACGCCTCTAAAAATAGGCTGACCTTCTCCTCTTCCTCGATAAAGACACAAGACAGATGGTATCTCAGCTAACATGTATATGAGCTCCTCTGAGGAGCGGCATGACAAGAGACATTAATGTGACTCCTAATCCCGCTTAAATATCACTTCTTTGTAACTCATCATAAAAACATGGCGACAATAAGACGGAGCTGAAGTCAAAGAGCAGTAAAAAGACCCGGAGCACAAATTAGAAGGCCCTTATGGCTGCAGAATAGCAAGGATGAAGTTGTAAAGCCCATTGTTTTGTTTGTTTTTGATAGAAAACCAAATCTCTCACCATTTCTCCAAAATCAGAGGACTCGAAATCAGAAAGAACAGTATCGACCTCCATCTGTGAAAACGAAAAACAAATAACACTGACGTTACCATAAGTTTAATGTTAATGCACTTTGTCCTGAACTGTAACGCTCCTCGATCCATCACCATCAGCAAGATCATTAAAATTGAATCTAAATGCAACCCAGCGGGCGTGTGGGTGTCACACTGTCATTTCTAACAAACACAAGAGGGCACCACAGCTGCACTAATGCCAAGTTGGGCTGTAGCTGTATCTGTACAAACACACCTTGATTTCTGGAGGCAGTGTGAGCCATCGAACCGCCGGCAGCCCATCAAGGAAAAGGGTCCCTGAGACGTCGGGTGGGGGAGCCGAGGAGCCTTCTCTCAGACGTGACGGCTGGATGAGCTGCTGGAAGAACAGGCAGAAGAAATGGTCCAACCTGGGAGTGTGGTCCACCTTACAGAACGCACTGGGGAGGACAATGAAGCTGCCAGATCAGTGTCACAGAGTGGTAACGGACGGAACGACTGAATAATGATGACAAATGAGGCTAAGAAAACGAGACAATGATGACTTTGTGCGACAACAGCTGCGAATCACGTTTTGCTTCAGCTAGAAAACACATTAAGGTGATTTCAGGATATTTTCCGTTATACATTAAAAAAAAAAAACAGCAACCAGAAAACGGAAGTTTCAACCAGCTCTCTCAGCACGAACTCAGGAAAGCTAAGACTGACCAACCTGTCTAAGGAGCCGTACATCACTTTTAGTGTCCGCACTACGTCTGCCACCACCGTCTGCAGATACAGCAGAGGAACCCTGGAGGGAAACGGAAAAAGTCAAATAGAGACCTGGATAAACTTCAGCTTAAGTAAATCTACTGCTTATCACATGTTTGGACTAACAGGAGACACAAGGAAAAACACATGTTAAGCTAGTGCTTTTTCTATTTTTGGGTGTTTTTCTAGAATTAATCCATAATTTCTCAGTATAAAATGAGATTTCTCAACCGACACAATGATTAATTGAGCTGACCTTGTTGCTAAAAATGAAAAGGTGGCTAAGATGACTCATTTCAAGAACCGTTTTACAGCCACGTGCTTCTTAAAGAGGTATTCATCTTGCCAACACAGGACAAAGAAAAGCACATGTTCAAGTTAAAATAGAGGAAAACGGACGGTCCTTTTGAATTGTTTTTACAGATCGCGCTCTTAAATCTTTCGTCTACTCCAAAAATAATTCATTTCTACAGCACAGGTCACGCTCGGAGAATTTATTACCACACCAGAGTCAGTGCCCTGATATTTAAAAATGATATCCAGAAAATGTGCTGTCAGATTTTTACACCTGCCATATGGAATCAACTCTGCGTGTTGGGTGTGTGTTTCTATTTGATCTCTTGATCTCTGAAATGTGCTGGAACAATCTCACAGTATAATAGTCTGTGTGTGTGTGTTCAGTGCTGCCTTCCTCCACCTCTCAGCAGGAAGGCCAATGACCAACAGGTTGTTGCTCTCCTTCCAGTAGCCAACATGTACCAGATGTTTCCCGAGGAGGAGAGACGAACTGAAGGAGAGAAGGGAAGAAGATATGGGAGATGGGGAAATTAGTTCATAAACGCAAAGTCAAAGGACAAATTGAACATAAAAACAGAAGCGTGGAGTTAATGTGAATAAAAACTTAACTGTCAGATCCTTAACATCCATATAAAGCTACAAAATGCCCAAATCTTGCTTCAAGATCTCAAAAGATTCAACAGTAAACAGGCAGGAAGGAGAGTATTTGAAGGAGCTACAACAAAAACTGGTTTCATCGTCACCATCACATGTATTTTGATACCTTATATTTTTATAAAGCGCCATTGTAAAGAGAAAATGTGTTGCATGATTTTTTGTGTGCAACATTTGAGTCTTTTAAGAGGATGCTTTTTTTTTCAAAGGCAGAACAACAGTGGATGAGAAACCAGTTTAAAACAGAAAAAGAGAAAACTGGACTAAATATACATGCATCGTCCTCATTAAGCAGCTAGCACTATGTCTGGCAAGTTTAAGAGGTTTCAAGGAAATGTATTCTTAAATTTAAAAAATACAAGCAGTAGGAGCATCACTGCTACACACTATAAAGTCTGTTACAGTCATTCAGCTGCAGCACAGTTACACTATTAAAAGCAGACAGTTGTTGGAATTCATTAAATGCATATTTTAGAATAAAATAATTTTCACAGAAACCCGAACAAAGTGCTAAAAGAACTGGTGACAACATTCACAAACATTTTGATATTTGTTGAAATGTTTTTTTTCTCTTTAATTTAAGCAAAAATGTGTTGGTTAGAGCAGTGGTTCTCAAACTAGGGGTCGGGACCCCCATGGGGGTCCCAAGATAATTACAGGGGGTTGCCAGATCATTGTAAAAAAATTAAAAATGATAAAGCCCACATTTATCAAATAAATCTGTATTAGGGCTGTCAAAATTTAAAGTATATACTTCTTCCCACTCTTTTCTTGAACTTGTTAATATTTTGATTTGATTATGCAATGTTATTATTCTTTTTTGCTCTTTTTAAAATTATTTGCTTTTGTTTGTATATATATTTTTTCCCTTTCATTTGTTCGAAATAAATCCAATTAATTAATTCATTCAAAAGAAAATTAATGTGTTAATATAAAAAGATTAATCAGTGGAATTAACACATCAATTCTTAAAGCATTAGTGCACGAACAACAAAGTTATTACTCATGATTGGGGGGTCACAAACACAAACGTATGTTATCTTGGGGGTCGTGGCTCAAAACGTTTGAGAACTGCTGGGCTAGAGCTGGTTAAATATCAACACTGTATTCCAGCTTCTCCTGCACATCAGTGATCAAAAATGTGATTTGAACGGTTTTATTATCACTTTTTCCGTGCGGTTTTCCTACCTGATGATCTGCCCCCCGGTCACATTCTCCAGCATGTCACACAGAGTGAGGAAGATCCCCCTCACTCCTTTCAGCTGGCTGGATGCTTCAGACACTGGATACTGGTACAAGATTTCCTCCTGCAGACAAACACACATAAACACAGCGTGTCATGGAAATTACATACGCAGCACGGAGCAGAATCTCTGGTTAGCATATCAACGGAAAAACGGCGCGAAAAAAAATGTGAAATATGTTTTCTTGGATGCTACACTTACCAAAATTTATGAATCCTCTAAATCATGGACAGAAAAAAATGAAGGAATAGATGGTTTTTCAGCAATGCTAGCTTGGTTTGTGTTTTGCTGTCCGACCCTTTACTTTGGAACTTTCGGTCACTTTAAAGATAAAACCAAAATATTTTTAATATTTGACTTTGCAGTGGTAGGAAAAGCAGATTCAGGAAAGCCAGGAATTCAACTAAGGGTCAGAGAAACCGTCATCTGTGCAGGGAAATGGCTGCTCACACTTCATTTTCAGCTACTTTCACCAAATTTGATCATAATTACGTTGGTGCTTAAACCCTGATGCAGCACAAGCTCTTGTTTCTGCAGCTGGAAAGTCTACTGGACTTGAAAAAAAATTAAAAAGACAGCACAAACTAAAAAAGCAGAAAAGAAAGTGCTCGGGGCAGCTCCAGTGTATTGTTTGTGATATTAGTATTCCTCCCTGCATGCTGGTAAACTTTGAAGGATCGAGAGCGTATTAGAGGCGAGCCACTCAGAGGATCAGAGGACGGAGTGGTGGGTGAGGGGATAAAAACAGTGAATGAACGGCCCCTTATAGCCCTGGCAACCAGAACAAAGACACAAACAACTGCCTATGGAAGAAATTCACCTTGGGGCCAAATCCAAGTCTGCTTAAGTGTGTGAGTGCTGCAGAAGAACAAGCAACACAGTACGACACTTCACTTGAGCTACATCTTGTCAGGCTAAAAAAAAACGAAAGAGAGGCTCACATCACCGAATCATCACACAGCTAAAACTCAAAAATACCACCGCTGAACCTCTCCAATTTCTGCTACCCTGCAATCAAAGGACTAAAAAATCAAAGTCAGAGTTTAGCGGGTTCTTGCACAGCACTGTCATTTAGAAAATCAACCGCTGGCTGATGTGGCTGCAGACAACCCATACTCTCTATCTCCAGCGCTGCTTCGGTCAAGATAAAAAAAGAAAAAAAAAAGAAGTCTGGCTTGCAGATACACAAAAAGGAACTGCAGAACAGTGAGGTGCAACCATAGAGAAAACCTGCCAAGAGTCGTCCACAGGGAAAATGGGATTACAGCGTAGGAGGTGTCGGTCAGCAGAGAAGTGTAGTTTTGCTTTTTCGCAGCAAGTAGAGACTTAAAGGGATTAACGCTCCACTACAAGTGAAATACAGCACTGCCCTGCACATGAATCTAATTAATACAGGAAATATGGTGTTTGGTTGAGCAGTGGAATCGCTCACTGCTGCTACACTTCAGTCAGAACGATGTGTGTGAGATCACCCCAGACAGAATAAAGCTCCCAGCGTTAAAATGATGGACCGTTTATTGACAGGGGCTGCGCTCAGAGCAGAGCACCTCGGCTTCTCTCCTTTCTCTCCCCTGTCTTTTCTGTTCTTTCGCGAGCAGCAGCCGCAGGCGTTGGAGGCCGTCCAGAGCAGTAGTATTCTGCAGCGTCTGACTCACATCAGAGAAATTCACAGAAAGATTCCACTGCGAGACCTGGGATTTCCGACACAACCACGGTCATTTTTAACACTCAGCTATTAGGATGCACTTTGTAAGAATGCAGATAATGAAATCAGCCTGCTCAGTGTTTAAATAGACTTTTATAGGGGCTGCACGGAGTCATGGGCGCCTTTGACCACGACATCATGATCAGATTTCCTCCCAGACTGAGTTACTTTCCAAAGGGATGGAAAAACATGTGGTCATCCAGGGTTTGGATATCAACTACAGCCTTTCTGTCACTTTTATTTACATGGAATTTAGCAGGATTATATAATTTTTGTTTGTCTGCTGACACCACCCACTGCTCACAGAGGGTGGCTTTCTCTTTTCATTTCTCTGTACTCTACGTTGGTCTTTAATAAGAGGCCGTTTCCACCGGAGAACCTCCAGGAACCTTTTTAGAAACTCAAAAACTTGCGTTTCCACTGGAAGATCCAGAATCTAAATGTAGTTCTTTGGCCATGGTTCCTGCCCTTCAAGACATCCCTGCGTTTAGTGACAGTACTTTTCCATGGCCGGGGACCAATTGTGTTGGAGTTTGTAGAAATGAATGTCGCTGACTGGTCAAATACCCCTGCTTTTTTTTTTTTTCACGGCGCACACTGTCTTCTCCAGACAGAGTTCAGGATGTGTGATGAGAGGAGTCACATGATTGAAACTTACAGTGATATATATAGAAATACACATTCAATTAAAGCTCAAAGCTGTAAGCTGCAAAAAACAAAAGCTCTCTGATGGTGTTACACATAGTTTATGGTTCTCCATCCATCACACTGGAAATCTTTTAGTTCATGTGACAGTCTCTGGACTTGGCTCCTGGAATCTTTGTTGAAAAGGGGTACGATGATGTTGGAATCAAGGTTTAGACTTTATTCTTTTTCTAGGGCTATGGTTTTGGGACCAATTGGTTGATTGATGCTCTTATTCTAATTGGCTGGAAAATTGCTGGTATTACTTTCATAATGAGAAAAGCGGTCCATCAATAGCACTCAAGGATTAGACCATCACTGTTGGTCTCCAGGGCATTTTGAAAGCCCCCTTGCAATTTCACAACTTTGATCTTTCCCAACCTAATGGAGACTGCTAGGTCTAACCGATTTAACATTTACACAACCTTCACTGAACATTTACTGACTCCAAACCAACTGAGACAGTGTCAAAGAAATCACTGGTGTGGCTGTATTTTGTGAAAACAAATGATTGAAATAAAGAAAGCTGAATGTAAACTGCAGCAGGGATCATAAGTTGGTGTTGGTATTTCAGAAATCATGTGGGTCTGCTTTGAGTCTTTCTGCAAACTGACCTCCTCCTGTGGTGATGCTGAGTCCAGTTTAAGTGACAGGTACATGACAATATGCGGGATGTGTCCTATGGACATCTGGAGCTCGGCTGTGTCCTCCCCCCACAGCAGACGCACCAGCTGGCTGACCGGCGGAGACGCCTTCGTCCTACGGAGTGGTGAGGTGTCGCCTGCACTGCCTCTGTCCACCGGAGCCACCGTCTCCAGGGTCAGCCTCACCTGGAGGAGGCCGGAGACACAGAAAGTAAGACAGGAAACTGTGGAGAGATGGTGGTAAAAACCAAGGAGCAAAGGACTGAGAGAAATGAAGAAAGGGATCAGTTGTGTGGAGAAAACAATACAAAGGAAAATGGAGCAAGAAAAAGAATTTGGGAAAAAAAAAAAAAAAGCGCAGCCACTTTGTTACAATATTGTTGCATCAGCCTGCCGACCAGTCCCTCTCAGACTTTCATTCATTTTCTAAAAATTCTGCAAGTCACTGTGTCTCCACATGATTATACTTGGCAACAGATTTCAGCAGCGCTCATGTGTCTGTTTCATAAAAATAGAGGTGTGCATGTGCGCCGTGTTGCCAAAATTTCAATCATTGCACGTTCGCTGAGGAGAAAAGCGAACAGCCGGATGGCGACTGTCAGAGAGAAAGTGACACTGACATCTCGAGCAAACCGCAGCATAACAAATAGCAGAGCTCTTTGTGTGTGTTTTGGTGTGTGCGTTTCTGAGTGACTAAATCAAAACCAGACCGCTGCAAAAGCCCCAGAAACAGCGTCAAGGCAACAGACAGCGTATCTTCTCCCATTCATGCAGCAGTTGTACTTTCCGTCCACAGCACCCCATTTTACACTGTCATTCACGGAAAGTGGCAGTGGAAACAGACACAGAGCTGCATGGAAATCCAGCCATCACACGCGTGGAAACACATGTGTTCAAGATGCACGGACGGATGAGACGCTGCGACTCTGTAGTGTCTCTGTTTTAACAATTTGTCAGATTTAAGTCTTGCAGAGCCAGCAGAGGAAGAGGCTGCGCGCTGACCTCACAGATTAAGATATTATGCATCAATCTGGGGACAGTTAAATGAGAATCATAGCAATCAAGTTTGGAAAAAAGAAGATTTTGTTGGATTATGCAAGAACTCCAGCTCAGTGAATTTTGCTGTCTTCAAACTTTCTGGATGAGTGAGTTGAGCTTTCACGCACATATACAATAAAAACAAGCATGAAATTATATTTATATACACCTACACAAACAACACACAATGAAACGCTGTGCACTGCCCGAAGCTGCAGATTTTACCGGCATACCTGTTCACACAATGTGCTGACTCTGGGCTGAAGCCTGTCAGCGCTAGAGAGGCCGTCTACTGAGCTAAGATGATGCTAATTCAAGAAAATCCGAACCAGAGTCCAGATGGGCGAAGGAGAAGCTGGTTAGGATAGTATGTTTAAGATCTGGTCAGGGAAAAACGGGTTTTGAGTCCTGAGTAAATAAGGCTCTCCCTTCTTTTAGTAAGTGACCTTCAGCTACTCTATTTGTACAAGCAAATATTTGGTTCCCCTGGAAACAGTGCCTACTAGAAAAGGGGATACTTAAATAAATGACACAGTGATGTAACTGACATTTCATAGTAATTTTTTACATTTTAACAGATAAACAAATCAGCTAAGTGGAAAAACAAAAATCCCCCACATTTGTCAGTTTCAAATCCAGAAAACTCTAATCAGGGGTTCCAGATCAGGTGCCAGTGATTCTGTCTTATTTTAAACCTCTGACATTCAGGGTCTGGCTTTCTCTTTGTTATTGAAATGTGCAGTGTCATCATGCCAAGATCTAAAGAGCTCTCTAAGGCCTTAAAAAAAAAAAAAAACGGTTGTGGATGGATGCCTATGAGTCTGGCAAGGGATTTAAAAAGATCTCCAAATTACCTGATATAAATCATTCCACTGTAAGGAAAATCATCCACAAGTGGTGTCGATGTCAAACGACTGTGAATTAGTGCAGGACTGACCGACCCAGCGAATTCAGCAGGAAAGCAGACTGTTGGAGGCAAAAAAAGAAGTCTCAAAGAACCCCAAAATGTCAGCAATTTTGCCACCGTTGGTGTCAGAGAGCTGCGTCTACAATCAGTAAGAGATTGCACAAATTTGACCTGCATGGGAGGCGTGCCAGGAAAAAGTCCTGGCTGTCCAACAAGAACATTAGAGCTAAATTACAGTTTGCCAGTGTAGGCAAAGAGCAGGCCCTTTGGAATAATGAGGTCTGGACAGACGAGTCACAGATTGAGTTGTTTGGCCCCAGTAACAGACCAAAGACAACTTTTTGGGAGAAAAAACCCGTAACTACTGTGAAGCACGGTTGTGGAAATGTTACGGTTTGGGGTTGCTTCGATGCCTCGGGGACCGGGCAGCTTGCAGTCAGTGATTCAGCTATCAATCTGCATCATATTAAAGAGTGTTTGAAGATAGTGTGGTGCCATCTGTGTAAAAGCTGCAGCTGCATTAGAAGTGAACCTTTCAGCAGGATAATGACCCAAAGCAAACCAGCAAATCTAACAAGTAATGGTTCGAAAGGGAAATATGGAGGGTTACAGAATGGCCTTGTCAAAGCCCAGAATTGAATTTGATTGAAATTGGATTTGAAACAGGCACTACAGCTAGGAAAACCCTCAAACATCTTCCAACCTAAGGGGTTTTGCATGAAAGCGTGGTTACAAATGTTACAATACCAATATGTAAGATGGATTTCTCCCACAGGGGTAATGTTAGCCTCTGATGCCAGGGTGGTACGGACTTTTTCCTCAGAAGAATATTACACGTCACACATTATATATTCAAGGACTCTGAAAAAGTTCAAGATCTGACAACCCTTTTGTTTTTTTAATTGTTTTTTTTATTGTCTGAAATCAAATCAAACCAGGTTTATCGTCATTGTGCTGTACATACACAGTAGTACAGGCAAGATGAGAGAGCGTTTCTTCAGGATCCAATAACTGATAAATAAATAAATAAATATACAATATAATAAATAAATTGATAAATGGTATGATTTTGGTGATTATTTTAAAGACAGTTGGGCTGCAAGGTGGCTCGGTGGTTAGCACCGTTGCCTCACAGCAAGAAGCTCGCCAGTTCGTGTCCCATTAAGGACACCCGGGATCTTTCTGCGTGGAGTCTCCATGTTCTCCCCGTGCAGTGTGGGTTCTCTCCAGGTTCTCCAGCTTCCTCCCACAAAGTCCAAAAACACGTTGAGGTGAATTGGAGATTCTAAATTGTCCGTAGGTGTGAATGTGAGTGTTCTTGGTTGTCTGTCTCTAAGTGTAGACCTGTGATAGACTGGTGACCTGTCCAGGTGAACCTGCCTTCACCCTGAGTCAGCTGGGATAGACTCCAGCCCCCCACGACCCTAGTGAGGATTAAGCGGTGTATAGATGATGGATGGATGGTTTTTAAAAACAGCTGAAACTTACTGAAGCCCAAGTTGCCCCTGATGGCAGACCAGCACCTTGTTTGGCAGCTCTGCCGCCAAACGCATGTAAATTTTTATTGTAATCCACTTTGTAGAATGTAACTAAGGTTAAAAAGCACAATGTAAGTGCAGACAATTTATCATTTATTAGCCCAAATATATCAAATAATCCAGTAGTTTGCATGGGATGCACCCAGATAAGTAACAGTTTAAATTTTGTGTTTGTACTACAGTACAAACAGTTTTTTCTGAACTAGGAATACAGCACGACATGACAACTTTTTCCAACTCATAACTTTTGCATACTCTGAAGCAGCTGTTGTTGGAACACTGAAAAAATCTCACCTGACACTGTCCAAACAAAAACACCCACTTAAATACTATGTGGCAAGACACACACACACACACACACACACAAAAGTTTAATGTAGCAATTTTAGTGCAGGCTACTGCATTTTGATTTTACTTCAATACTGTGCAGCTCTCGTGCAAGGTGAGCATCCTATTAAGAGAACATTGGAGCTTCTGCTAAGATTTAACCTCAAACCACCAGAGAGCTTGCAGATCCAGTTATACGTTTTCACCACTACATCCCCGCTGCTGCTGGTCACACCCCGGCTACGATTTGGACCACAACACAGAATGCAAAAATATGGCATTCATTGAACACAAAAAAAGCTGCTTACATTGTATTACACACGCAGCTTTTCAGAACAGATGAGCCAAACAGGAGTCGAGGTTCCAGTGCCGGGATTGTTTCTAGTCTGCAAATATGCTCAAAGAAGTAAATAAGGTGTTGTGGTCAAAACTTCCAAAAGAATAGGGTCTGTATTTTGTCCAACGCGAGACCATATGGAGCCTCCCAAATATGAGTAAAGCTCATATTACCTGGTCAAAAATGTTGAAACTGTATTTTTCTAATCCAACGATCACTCCCAGAACTCTCCAAGGCCTGTCAGCGCTAACCGCAGGCCACCCGCCTCTCCAGCAGGCGCCTCCATCTGGGCTCGCAGCCATTTTAGCCAATTTTAAGGGTATTATTAAAGAAGAACCGGCCTTTGGCGAAACACCACGTGGTGTACCTTTCAACTGGCGATTCTGACTGAATAACTCAGTCCTGGAGAAATGGTGAAATGGGTTTCATGTCATCATATCTTCAATCATTCAGGATTCACAAACCATGTAAGAAATAACTCTGACTAGACTGAGCTGAGGGCATCAAATTGAAAAAAAAAAAAAAGTAGAAAACTTTCAAAACAGCAGAGCTTAAATTGTGGAAATCGCTGGGTAAAGAGGCTGAATGGGCTAACTGCAGCACTTTCTCTCATCATAAATAATAAGGATGTGGTTAGACTGGAGTGTGCTCTCAGTGGAATTCCAGTCTGTTGATGTCAGTCATTTACCACTCGTCCACGGGTGGACACACACACGCACTCAAACACACACAAAGGAGAAAGTGTAGTGCAGCTAGGGTTAGTGAAGGGCACGCTGGGCTGACTTTAATACTAATATTTGTCCCTCCAAACGTAATAAGTACTGTCTCCGTTCCATGTGGGAGGGCAGGCACACAGAAAAACCACCTCTAACGCATACATACATACATACATACATACAGTAAGCACACATTCACTCACACAAAACAATCATTCTGTCAGCAACAGAACTCTATTTCAAGTTTTTGAGAGTCATCGTGGTGCCTGAGGAACCTTGTATTTTTCCAAAAAATCTCCCCCCACTGTTTTCCTACAATGTAATTTAGTTTCCGACGACATCTTCTAATCAGCTGAGCTTTTCAATCCCACAACAGCTTCCTGTGGCGCAGAACGAGTCCCATCGCCGTCCTGTTTATCCGCCATCAACCCTGTACACACTCTGTCATTTGCAAATTCCTACTTTTTGATGGTCTGCTTTTTTGGTGAAAAACGCACGGCTGAGGCCCAGACTATGGATTTTTTCTTTTTTTTTTCCGCCTCCGATCAAAAGGATCATTTCTCAGTAATTGAGGGTTTTCTAATGTTAAACAGCTCTGGCTTCTGCTTTCTGTACACATTTTAGCAGCTTAGGAGAACCAATGCATTTCCAAGTAATTTAATGTCTATATTTACTGTCCGTGTCTGCTGTTCATGACAAGCCAGGATCCTGAGGGCATAAATGCTGCCTTACAAATTTAGAAAAGCTAATTCAATCTGAAAAAGTGTTGCACAAAACACTCACAGTGTGGCCATGAAATAAAAAAAGGGCTCCCAATAATGGCAGAGATATGGGGTTCTAAGAAAAACAACTTCACACACGCTGACCTGTGTTGGTCCTGGGATGCAGGACAGAACCCTCTCTATGTTCTCCGAGGTCACATCGACATCGTCCACCGCTACAAGCACATCGCCTGCAAAAAATAGACATTTATCAAGCAAACCTGAATCAAACAGTAAATACAGATGGATGCTTATTGCACCACAGAGAGGTAAAGTTACCATATATATAGTGAAATTAGATATGAGAGATGATGTGCTACAGGATCCAACAAGAATGCAACACAAAGCAAACCTCCATGATGCAAAGATCCACAAGAAAGCCCTTCAAACGTTGCCTGAAAGATAACATGCCGGACCCCGGTTGCTCCACGATCAAACAGTATTAACTGTAAATATCTGACTCATGTTTTGTCTGTTATGAGATAAGCTATATGTGATCAGAAACACTAACTGACATAATTTGACTGGTTATATGAGCTGTAATGTGCTTTTGACCTACCGAAGCTTCACCTGCTCATGTGCAGGGAGGCACACAACCACGGCAGTAACGGAGCTATTTCAGGTATTCACCGCTCTAATTGTTTAAGCATGTAGCTACCCAGCATAAAAGCTTCTCTAAACAGTAACTGATGTGGGTAGTAATTTGTGGTGAAGCACAATTGGCATTCCTCTGTTTGCTTGCGAAAACTGCCCGATGATTAGCCCAGAGGAAAATCACTTGAGAGATGCTTGGCTTTTAAACACACATATTATCATTTGTACGGGACCAAAAGTTTATTCGCTCTACAAACCCGCGCCTTAAGCTTCACCTGGATCAGATAAAGCAGCAGCTGAAAAGTTGGCCGCGAGAAGATGCTACTAAACATCCTACACATTTGTCCAACAGGGATTTTGGTTTAACAACATAAATAATTTGTATTAACGTGTTTTCTGTACATCTTCCAGCACTGTGAAGGTGAATTTAGTGTTTCTGAAATCCGGGGCCACTAATGTCAGACAGAAAACTGAAGCACACAGGTTGATTTGCAGCATTTAAAAAGGAAATTATACAAATATTTCAACAATACCGTCTTCATCAGTCTTTTTTTTTGCCTTGCACCATTAAAAGGCTGCGATTCCGGCACTGTGCCACAGGGTTTTCTCTCAAAAGACAGATTTGTATTACTTAATATTTGTTACTATGGCTTCAGCACACTTGGCCATATCTACTCAACAGGATGCAGAATACAAAAATGAACCTCCTCACTCTCGAAACTAGGTCTTTCAGTGCGTTTCTTCATCTAATTATCCAAACAAATCATAGCCCGTCTACTTTATTTACCACTCTGGATTTCATTGTGTTGGATGTTAGACTCATTACTTAGGATTTGGCATCTTTTTTCTTGAGAAACCTTCGCGTGTGTGTGTTTGACTGTGGCGATGTCGTAATAATTGCAGCCTGTGCTTTGGCAGTGCATTAGTGTGGTGTGGAAATTAATGAGGCAGTGCTTATGAATGACTCCACGGAAGACTGTTGTTGAAATTATAATTGCCGTATAGCTACGTTTTCTCTGTTGTACGGGAAATGGGTTTCTTCAGAGGATGGAGAGTGTGCCTTCAGCAAAAACTCAGTCACAAAACGTTGCGTATTTTTATGCAGTTAATTTTTCCTCTGAAGCTCAAGCTTCCAAGTAGCAAATACATCCCTCGTCTTCTAGATACCAGAAGCTTTCTAACAGGTTAGGGCTGCTCTTAACCTCACTCGAGTGGATAGATCCAAAAGAAGGCTGTAAGTCTGCTCTTGTCTCTAAATGAGGACTGAAAATAGAAACTCTAAGATGATGAATTCCCAAATGTGTCTATTCCACAGTGCATGGCCTCATTAGGAATAAACATTGTCTTTGTATTGCCTTCATGTGCCTTTTTAAACATGTGCAGAAAACACTGCAAAGGTATTTACAATGACCAATGACAAAAATGTTGGACGACGGTCTTACCGATTAGAATCTGCCCACATTTGATGGCTGGACTGTTTGGTATTAATCCATGTACAGTCAGTCTCTCCTCCTGTCTGACTGTAGGTTCTCCGTGACCTCTGCTCCAAGCAGGGCGATGCACCACTCCCAGCAGTGCTTCCAGCAGGCCTCCGCTGTCACACAGAGGCGTTGACGAACCTGCTAATCGTTTAGGGTTGAGGTAGACGCACACCTCCTTCAGCTGCTGCTGCTGAACAGTCACACCCTGCCTTTGGCCGGGCTGGTTCTTCAGGATGGATGCAGGAGGGGATAAATTTGAGCTGTCTTTACCTCCATCCTTCCCTCCTCTGCGCTGAGAAGGCCGCCGTTTTCTCCTCAGGATCCTGGCTAATCTTTTAAGTGCCGGCTCGCCTTTCGAACGTGAGCCGCATCGCTGCTTCTTATTTTGCTCCGTGATGATCTCGGCCTCCTTTTCACTGAAGCGAACATGGTTAGTGGATACACCTTGATTAGCAGTGGCCTGGGCTAACGCAGCCTCCTCTTCACCCTCACTCAGCTCCAGGTAGAACAGCTCACCATTCTTCTGGATATCGTCCAGCCATTCGGGTTCCAAGTCACTGAGAGAGAACAACGAGATGATTAAAGGCAAAGCAGTACGAAACTAGGATGAGAGGGTACAGTAATAAAGACAGGAGATGTGCTGATTACAACCAATGGATCGATGATAGAGCTTACATGTAGACCTGGCCAATAAAACGACACTTTAACGTTGTCTTAAATGCAAACTGCTTGTATTAACTTGTATCAACAAGCCACAGCGTGCTCCTTAACTGGCTCAGAACCAGTCTATCATATCACGTGATAAAGGATCCTCTTTAGCCTCCGTCTCTCTTCCTGTGGCTTCCACACAGGTCTGCGGCCACCTTGGCCTCTCATCACCCCGTCTGTGCCCGCAGACCTCCCGTGGTTGACACTGCAGCTGGTGGGGACCAGTGGTTGCCCTTGAGAGACAGGCTTTGCGGTCTAAAAACACCCACGACTACCTCCACCGTCACACTCCCAGCACCCTGCCCAAGGACTGACAAGCTTAATGTCGATGTGCACGAGGAAGCAGGTGTGGAGTCTCCATCTAGTGATACCTGGTCCAGACTTGCCACTCAGAACATGAACCTCCCTGAGGCTGCTGAAGCTTCCTACTGGTCAACCCCTCTGTGTACCTCCTGGTTTTACTTGCTTTAAGCATTGAATCAAAGTGAGATCATTCCTTTATATTGTATATTGTTTCCTGAGGGAACTGCACAATAAATGCCTCTACATACGTGACATTACATCCACATTATCACATATTTCTGTCCTAAAGAGGAATGAAATATCATCCATGCCAACATTTTTCATGTACTGGTTAAAAATGACAGTTGTTTTGTTATTTTAGTCCTTGGTGATTTGAACACAGCATTTTAAATCCAAAAGAAAAGAAAAAAACCTACAACAGGCAGACAAACAAACAAAAACTGAACTACATGAGCGGGAACTATTTCTTCTTTTGGTCTCACTTCTTTTGATCCGCATTAAAGAACACATGGTGGACAACTGACCAAGCATCCATAAATTTACGGAGAAAGCATACAATTATTTATGAACCTCCCAAGTTGAAAACACAACCCGAAGCTATGAAAAGAACAAGGGAGGAGATGGGACCAGAGCCACACTCCCTCTTTGATAAACCAGTTGGTGTCTGGCATTTACTGGCGCTTGCAGTCACAAAACATCTATCTTTAGATTATATGTGTAAATAAATTATCTGGAGCAGCCACACACCGCAGCTGCAAGTGCAAAAGTCTCGGATTCAAGTTAGATTCTTACTCGGAGTAGTCGGAGCTGCTGAAACTCGATGCTGTGGATTCACTGTCACTGCCGTTGGCGTGCTCGATTCGTTCTTCGTCCGTCTGACGGTTAGAAACAATGTTCTCGGCACATTGGCGGACATTTGCGGAGGCCATGAGGTTATAAAACGTCTTATTTCCCACATAAACGCAAAAAAGCGGCGAGAAAAGCTAAACTTTTAGCTGCTAAAACGAGCAGCGATCCGCTCTCGCCATGTTGTGCAGAGTCACGTGATACTGGAGCGCGCAATCTGATTGGTGGACGGCGCGGTTGCTCCTGACAACGCAGAAGCTTTCAGAGCAGCGTTGTTTGCTAGCAAGTTTGTCGCCGTTAAAAATCCCGTTAAACGAGACTTCCTGTGATACTCTGCAGCGTGTTGGGGCGATAACTGATCTGGGGTTTGGTTAAGCATCTGAGGAGACAACTACCTAGTTTTGAGGATGATGTTTGGTTATTTCTTTTTCGTAAAATACACATCGACGCGGGCACATGTGGGGATACAACACCGATACGAGACTGTGTGCCAGTTTACTGGGCAGCATGGAGCTCTCAGCCCATTAAATAATGCAGTAACCATGAAGACAACACCGCAAACATCCTCGTATTAGAAACATTAATTTAACAGGAAATCATAAATAAATTTTACAAAATTATTATGCAGCAAAGTCAAACGTACATATTTTCTGGGTTTGCTGTGTTTTCAGTTTTACGCATGCACAGTCGCTCCGTATCTCCACCTCCCTGCACGAGGTTTTTAAATCCCCTCCGGCATTCAGTGAAGTTCTTGCTAAGAAAAAACAAAAACCCTGCAAGAACTGTATGGATACTCGTGCAATGCATCAACAATGATGAAGCTTCGACTGACCTGTAAAGCAGAACACTGCGAATAGAGTCAAAGTCCTCCAAGTTCTTAGAGAATGAAGCTCCATCTATAGAAATGTTAAACATCATTTGTGTTTCATGTTTCTCGCTGAGACGAGCTCCTCTGATCGATAACGCAGCGATGATAAATGAGGACACAAATTCAAAAACTCTTTAAAAAAAAGGTGAAAAATGAAACTTTCTTCCTCTGCGGATGAAGTGAGCCTGAGCTCCACCATGCAGCCTGATCTGCGTCTCCAGAAGGCTGCAGCGGATCCTCCCCCAGTTTCTCACGTCAATCACTGACACGGAGCAGCTAACACGACTCAAGGGGAGAAGAAAACCATTGTTGCTTCCCTTTTTTTCTTCTTCTTCTTTTTAGTTGTGAGTGTTTCTCCAGGCCAGCAGAGCGGAATTTGTCCCGGTCGTCTTCTTGGCAGGTGGCGCACAAACCCGCCTCCTCTGGACGCCCAAAAAAAAAAAAAAAGCTCCGCAGACCAGACAGAAAAGCAGCACAATTTTCAAGCCTGAATGGGGAAATAAGGTTACATCACTGCGCCTATTCTTGGCAATAATCCCTGCAGATTATCACACTGGTGATGGAAAAATTGCTTAAAGTATTTAGTACCTGCAGCACATTAAGGTGTTTTACATTCAATGATCTTCTTGCATCAGCCACATATTTTATTAAAAGTTTTACTTCTCTAGCAAGACATACTCAGAGCCTTTATTAAGTAAAAGCATTACTAGACTAAAAACTTCCCCAATCACAAATACAAGTAACTGATCTGTGTGATCAGTTTTGCATCAGCACAAAATAATACGCTTTAAATGCTTTGTTATTAACTTCATTATATTTTTAAATGATTGCTTTAATAACCAAATCCAATGTATGTTGCAGAGCTTTGCATTAGTGCTGAAGTTAGTGTATAAAATGTTCTGTCATTTAGAATCACATTGTACCTCATGTGGGTAAAATCATAAAGTAATTCAGTATTATGTGTCTGCAGGACAAAATGCTGTCATGACTGCATTTAGTACACCCAGATCCCACCCAAAAAGTACTCTATGCCCAGGTACTTGTGGTTTTAAATATAGTCCTTACTTTGCACAATCACGTACAATAATAATGGAGTCATAGGCTACGGCCTTCCTCCTCACACAACAACACATGCTTTCTTTGCCAAGCTGTCAATACTGTGGCACTCCCACTGAAGACATCAGAACTGTTTTTAATAATAACCAAATAAAATCTGACTCGCTTTCAGTATGATTGTTGTCCATGTTGGCCAGATA